GTGAATTAGAACTGGTCAAGGGCAAAGCTAGCTCCTCTGCTCCCTCCTGATCCCTTTTCACCCCGGCCTTTTCCTTGCTTTCACAGGAGACAGCATTAACAGCTGGACACAAACTGGTTCTATTTTTACCCTCGCAATGACTCTTTATTAGCGTCAATTGAAAATCACTATTTTTTTAAGGCTAATCCTGACAGAATGTAAAGTTTTGGTTTTATGAAAGCTGCTAACTTATTATAGACTGTTAGGAAATACAAGTTAGTCAGTCATCCTTAAAGTATTGATATAACTAATTACAGGGAAAAGCCTTATTTAGTCCCCTGTTTAGGTTTTAAGTCAAACTTAAGACAAGTAACTAGAAACAAAGTTTGTCTAATCAGATAAACCTAGGCAGCCCTCATACTTCAGAGATCTGCAGAATATGACATTTAAAATAATGATTAAAAAGTTTATTATATTAAACAGAGACTCTGAGGTCCTAGCAGTGACCCACAGTCCCCGAAAAAGATCATGGGACACCATGATGTCTCCACCTGGATTACAACAATGCTGACCACTGGGTGAGATGCCCCAGTGCAACACCTGCTGCCAGGACCCGGTCCAGACTGTGGACAAATGGCAGGACATTGGAGAATTGACTGCACCACTTATGCCTAGACAAAATAAGGTCAGTCTTTTCCATGTCCCTCTTCCACAGGAAAAAAAAATCACCTTATTGGCCTGGCTAAGACTCTAAGACTGTTGTTCTGAATACTTTTGTCTCCAATGCTGTGGAGACCCGGGTATGGCTAACTGTATATGACTCTGGTCCCTGTCATTTTTAATGGATTTGGAAACTACTTGGTCTGTACTCAGGTATACTTTATCTATCCTCTCTGATAGTATTGATGGCTAAGCCAGCTATAATGTTGTCAGTTTAGCAGCAACAGGTATCCAGACCCTTGCACAAAGCTATAGCCAGCTTGTTAGCTCATTTTATATAGCGAGAAATTAAGCCTTGCTTTTTCTAAAGCTACTAGGTCTCTAGATTACAAAAAAAAAAATGTTTTAAGATATATAAAGATCTGAGGATATAAAAGCTCATAAGCTTTGAGGGTCTAAAATGATTTAAAATGTAAATACAGGTTAAGATATGGAAAATATTTCTGATTTCTTTCCCCTTCTAATGGTATAGTTCTGGTAAGCTAACAGAGCAATGACTACTTACTGTTTGGGTCACAAGCTCAAGATTTTAGATTTAGTCTGGTTGTCATCTAAATATGAACGTAAATGTGTTTCTCATAAGGCCAAAGACATCTCTGTCCAATTCATACTTGGATCTCTGGACAGCAGAAAAAATATATATGCTTCTAACCAAAATCTGGAGTATTTGTTGGGACTCAAAGGTATGAGTCTACCCTGCTGTATACAGATACCCATTATCTGCCTTTATCTATGATATGGATTTCAATATGGGCCTGAAAGCTTCAAATGTATTATTTTCCTTTAAGTACATAAATTTTAACTTCTGTTCCTAATTTAAACTTCTCAATTGGCTTCACTCGGCTGGCAGATACATCTAAGCATCAGTAGCTGACTCCATCCTGCTCCAAATGACTGCGAGCCTTGGACTTGCTGAAAGCTGATGTCGATCAGTCCAGCCAATGTGAGTGTTCCCTGTCTCTTCAACAGAGTCTGCGAACCAGATGCTTCTCATCAGTGTCCCATTGCCTGAATTCCTTCTTTATCTTTGGCTTGCCTTTCTTGGGCCCTGACAACAGCACCCCAATGTCAGCTCAAAGTAGTTACAGAAAAGAACACATCATCCCATGCTTCCTGCCCAGAACAGGTTGAAGTTCTGAGACAAGGGGGAACTCTCTTGTCTACCTATAGTACCCATTGATATACCATAAAAGTAGGCCCAGAGTTGTCAATTAATGGATTTATTAACTAAAACAGTCCTACAGTAAAAAGACACTTTGTTCTTTATGCGGAACCACAGTACCAAAGAGGACATTCAGGATTATAATTCAATTTGGTTGTACTCAAAAGATCAGAGCTACAGGGCCTGATAGCAGAGAATGACCACTGTCCTAAAACATAATCTGTTAGCTAATGGTTCTTAGGTCCCAATACTATCTCCTTAAACCAATGGGCAAGCCGGACCCGTGACTGGGTCCTGTCATTGGTACCTGTGAAGAGGGAAATGTAGGTCCCTACCATGATAAGCTCAAGGGAATCTGAGTCTCAGTAGTTAAACCTGAGGCAATCAAGAAAGACCACAAACTGAGACCACCCAGGAACAGACCATCCAAAGAAAATTCCTAATGTTCCACCCATTGTAGATAGAATCATCTGCCAGCACACATTTACAAGGACACCCTAGACAAATGTCAGACAATCAGGGGTCCTCACCTTAGAAAACCCTCACCCTCACCTTTGCTACCATAAAAATCCAACTCAGCTGAACTAGGGGCTACCAACCAGTCCAATACGTTGGACACATGGAGAGTCCAAGTTTGCAAACTTGTATAAGAATAAAGGCTCTTTGCTTTTATATATAGGACTCCATCTCCTTGTTGGTTTTGGGGAGTCTCCTTGATCTGGGCATAACACTGGTATCTGGTGAGTGAGCGGATAAATCAGACAAAGATAGAAAAACAATACAACATGTGGAGCTGCCTTCTAGAGGTTATTGTGTTAGTGTTCATTCCATCATCTTATTAATGAGAATAGCAGGATAAAAAGGTCCATGCCGAAGCATTTACAGAGCATCATTACATAAAGGAGAATCACAGAACAAAACAAAACAAAAAAAAATAGGCCAAATCAATTAATCCCCCAAGTTAGCCTTTCCTTCCCGTAGAAATCATGAGGACAAGCCGGCTTAGCACTTCTTAGAAAGTCATGCTGCGGTGCTGCTGTCATGGCCAATGATACAGAGGAGGGGAATGGCGGATTAGTTTATAACAATAGGTTATTCCAGCATGGGGTCAGGTAGTAGATGGTGATGGCCTATGCAGTAGGAAAGAAGGCAAAGGGAAGTAGCAAACACTAGAAGGAATTCACTCATCTTCTGAATGATCTCAGCCTCAGGATGGTCATGCTAACCAGTCGCACAGAGACTGGAATATATCAGGCAATTATGATGCAAGAGAATCTATATTCAGAATTATGGACAAACACTTACCACCTAGAAGGAAAGTTTATTTTTAAAATGAATCCAGAGGGAAAGATAAGAAAAACACATTTTCATATGGTTAGTGCTTATCATAGCAACTATACATCCCACAGATTTATAATAGTATGTGTTGTATAACAAAGAAGATTATTACAAAAAACCTAAGCACTAGACAACCCTAAGTATACAGTATATACTTTTATACACTCAACCAAGGCTGAGAACTAATTACTACCAAAAATACAAGCCAAATGATCCAGAGAGATTTACTGTCATTACAATTTCCCCTTTTATATCAGTAACACGCTACTTTAGGCAACTGCTAATTATCTACGTTCAGCACAACTAAAGGGAACATTAGAGTATTCTTCATCCTGGTGTCAAAGGAAATACAGATTTGCTTGTTTGCTCACTTCTTTATTGTTTAGCAGTGCACCTCTATGGATTTCTGGGTAGCCTCAAACTCTCAATACTCCCACCTTAGTTTCCCAACTTCTGGAATTCCAATAGTGTGCCACATGCCCAATACATAAGGATCCCCTCAGGAGATCTGAGGCTGGGATCAGGACAGATGGCCCTGCCCTTGTGATTTTGCAGCTGTGTTTCCAGGCACCAGGAGGTCCACAGTGCATCTACATTCAACCACAGCAGGTTATCTGAATAATAGTCAGTTGTCACATCCATACTTGCTGCTTTGTTTCCAATTATTATGAGCAGTAAGATTTATGATAACTTCAAAGTATTATTAAAGCATTATGAGCTTTTTTAAAAAAAGCAATCCAAATGGAAAAGAAATGTTTCCCAAATCCAACAACTTTTACAGACATTATATGAGAACCTTAACATTTTTCAACAAGAATGAAATATTTGCACATTCTTCCATTATAAGACATTTCTTATCAAAAATGATAAATACACTATTATTTTAGGTTAACGGGACTTCAAAAACATCCAATGTGAAGAGGCTTCTTTTTGCTGAATAGGTTCAACTTAAAGGTCCCACAGAGCCCCACACTAACTCTTTAGAAAGGAGCTCTATAGTATCAAGATAATGGAATTATTTGGGATAATGGAACAGCTGCTAAATAGTAATTTTCAAATAGTTTATAAAATTACTAAGTAAAATATATAAAGTAAAGGGCTAATATATCCAATTACATAGAAACTTGAAATTTTCCTTCAAGTTACATGAACCTTGAACTTTATCCTAAATAATAGAGATTAGTTTATATTTATTTAAAATACTCTCATTTCCCAAATATGAAGTAGATAACTAAAATGATAAAATTTCATTTCTATTACAGGTCATAAATTTATGATGTACATCTTTGATTTCAAACAGAAGATGAGATAGTTTGGTTTTGTGTTAGGTTTTATTTTGATATTTTAGCTAGATAACAAAAGGGGTGAGTTGAAGAATTCAGAAAAGACTGAATTGTTATACCTACCAAAACTTAAAAATGGCAGTTTCAGTTCTAACTTATATTATTTTTCCAACATTGTACATCAGTCACTAACCAGTCTAACCAGAAGACAACAAAACAAAATCTAAAACAAGTAGCCTTTGCCTGCCATCTGGTGGAGGAAAGTGATATGGAATTTATACACTGAAACCATACCAGGCACCAACAAAATATCTTGTATTTAAAATTACTCTCTGTGCTAGCATGTGGAATGCAAAGGATATTTCTTTCTTGGAAAATTTATATTTATCTACATGTTACTGGAATGCTCTAGAGAAAAAGGCAAGGAGGGGCAGAGAAAAATCTGCATGAACACAAACGCACAGACAAGCTTGCAATGTTGCAGATCCTATGAGACAACGTCACAAACCTACACTTACATGGCCATGCAGATCTGTGTTGAGCAGCATCATAGCACACGTGAGGCAATGGACTCCATCTGCAAAAACAAGGACTACTGTTAACATCGCATATGCACAGCTGCACTAGACACAACTTTGTTTGGAGGGTAAGAAAATGGATAAGTTGCAAGTACTTCCAAAGACAGTTGAACCCTTCTAATGACAAGTTAATTGGTACCTCCTCTCTGAAGGGCAATTTGGTATTACATGTGCAAAACCATGAAGCAGTGTCATTTAACACAGCAACTCTTCTGTGGCTTTACACTAAGGAAACAACTAAGAATCTACATAAATACAAGATTACAAAGTCAGACATTGCTCACAATGAGAGACAAATATAACTCTGCAGAAACAAAAGTTTGTAATGTTAAGGACATTAGGATTGTTGTATAGAAACATAGGCTAAAGTGAAAAGATACTTGATAATCAGTCATATGAGAAACATGTGCAGTATAATTCTACTAAATGTAAATATATCTAAAAGAATATATCAAAATACAAAGCTATCTCTGGATCATGACACATATTTCTGTTTTATTTGTATTTTCTCAATTTTCTGTAGCATATGGTATCAATATGAAAAGGAATCATTTAATACTCAAGATGTATAGTTAATAATAGACATATTTTGCAGCATTCTTTAAAGACCACATTTAGATTGTATTGTCTTTCTAGGATGTTTAGGTAAAGCCAAAAGTAAAAGACCGAAATAATCTAGGAGGATCAAAAAATTAAATATTCAGAAAAATGTGGTCAAAGCCTGAAATAACATTTCCAATTTAAATGGGGTTACTGTAAAAGACAGCAGCCAACACCCAACCCTCCTCAAGAGCATGTCCATGCACTCCCACATGCCCTGCTCTATCCAGGCCTGCTAACTTCCCCTTGACTTGCAGGTGTAATGGGAACAAGGCTCCTCCACTTCTTGGGTTCTCTAGTTGGTGCTGACCCAGTGACAGAACTGACAATCAGTCCACAAAGTATCAGTTTGCACATAAATATGTGATATTGATGATCAAATGCTGAGCTGACTAGCTACAGCCTGGAGGGTTGGAGTGAGGAACGACTTCGGTTACTATCAATCTCTAGTCTCAGATAATAACTATTCCTTGTCCATATCAATTTATTCCACAATTAATAAATTTGTAAGAAACTTCCCATTTAAAAGGGAATATACTTGACTTAAAACTTGAAGTTGTGCATTGCTACTGTATTTTAAATAGAAAAGGTATCTCCTTGTGGGTAGGCCAATAGTTAAATATTATGTTACTCTGTAAAAACAGTACCACAAACAAACTCATAGTTCACTAAAGTCATAAGTGAAAAGCAGCTTTAAAGATTTTAATTAATATCAAACAAAAGTACCTGAGATTCAGAAAAGTCTCCATTGAGATAGATAAATATGCAAAAGGAAAATCTGAGCTAAACACACTGATTTCAAGAAGTATAATGACTGGATTGCTGTGGAATAATCCTTCTGTATACTGTAAATATGTACTATTCTCATTGGTTAATAAGGAGCTGACTGGCCAGTAGCCAGGCAAGAATTACAGGTGAGACAACCAAACTAGGAGAATTATGGGTAGAAGAAGGGCGGACTCGGAGGATATGCCAGCCACTGAGGAAGCAGGCCATGTAGAAATGAGGTAGCATGCCATGATCCACGGGAAAAACAATAGATAAGAAATATGGGTTAGAGTGTAAGAGTTAGCTAGTAACAAGCCTGAGCTATTGGCCAAGTATTTATAATTTATATTAAGTCTCTGAGTCAGTTATTTGGAAAGTGGCTGCCAGTTATTTAGGAGCAGGCAGTCAGGACAGGGAAACTCCACTGACATAGGACATATAAGAAGAAGTAAGAAAACCAATAATGTATCACAAACTACTTTGCACATAAAATCCCAGCATTCAAAGCTAAACATATGAAGACAATATAAATAAAGAATACCACCATACTATGAATTTTTAAAAATAAACTAAGAGAACAAAATACGTTATTAAATATTCCTTAAGAAGATGATGCCATAAAAAAACTAAAATGAAAGGGAAAGAATGAGAAAAGGAACTAATGATTCCAGTTTGGATTTAAATAATTAGGAGAAGGCAAATTAAATATAACTTCTTATATTTTTACAATAAAATATAACTTATAATAAAGAAAATAATCATAGTCATAAAATTGCAAGCTTTCCATTAGATTACCTTGTGAGGTGATAGTGTCTGGATTACAATAAAAATATCTATTGGAGAAATGTATTAATACTCTTTCACGCTCCTGGGTTTCTCCCACAAGAGAAAATGCTTTAAAGAAATACCTGAGAAAGAATAATAAAGAAGAGAAATGTTTAAGCAGTTTTCATCTTTTGTATTTAACAGTTATCTTAGAGAAATGTAAGGGAATAATTATACAAAAGCATCCTATAGTCCTTTCTCCCTACTTCCTAATATATTCACTAGATAGAACTCAATATAAACAAATGGAAATTTAAATTCTATAAAAAGTGGGCCAGGACTGGAGAGATGGCTCAGAGGTTAAGAGCATTGCCTGCTCTTCCAAAGGTCCTGAGTTCAATTCCCAGCAACCACATGGTGGCTCACAACCATCTGTAATGAGGTCTGGTGCCCTCTTCTGGCCTGCAGACATACACACAGACAGAATATTGTATACACAATAAATAAATAAATAAATAAATAAATAAATAAATACAATAAAATAAAATGTGGGCCAGACAAATGGCTCAGCAGGTAAAAGCTTGCCACACAATCCTGAGAATGTGAATCCATATTTCATGTGAAAAGTGAGATTTGGTAGCATGCACCTATAATCGCCGAATTAGTTGAGGACATGAGAACTGCCCACAAGTTCATAGGCCAGTTAACCTAGAGAACTCCGTGTAGCAGCAGAAACAAAAAGAGAGGCCTTCTCAAAAGCAAAATGGAAGGCTAAAACTGAGTGTCTTCTAATTTCCATGCTGGCTGTACCACATGCACAGAAAGAAAAACAAGGAAGGGAGGGAGGGAGGGAGGGAGGGAGGGAGGGAGGGAGGGAGGGAGGAAAGAAGGAAGGAGGAGAGAGAGGAGGAGGAAGAAAGGAAGAAGAAAGGGAGGGAGAATGGAAGAAGGAAGAGAGAAAGGGAGGGAGGATGGAAGAAGGAAGGAAGAAAAATAAGCCTCTATAAAATGTCACAGGAAGAACAGATAGGCCAATACACAAAGAAAGCCTGAAAAAGGCAGGCAATTTATATTGTGATTGTCAAATGGTATTTTTTAAAAGATCAATTATATTAAAAAGAAAAAGACAGACATTTATGACTCATTTGTACAATCATACTAGCTATGTGTTAAAACCCACACATCAGGGTTCAATAGTGATGTAATCTCCACCTGTCTGCTTTGCACACAGCAGATCTGGGTTAATTTATTTTCCTGTTTTCACATCATCATAGATTCATGAGGAAGAAACTGGAAAATATAATCTTAAGTTGTTCCTTATGTCAAGCAATATGCTACTTATAAAAATCATTTAAATTTTTCTAAGACTCTTACTATCATAAAGTACATATAATAAGCTTGATTTTTATGAGAATATTTTTACTCTTACTAGAGATTTGTACTTCATGATCCTAACCCACACTGATCACTATTGCTTTACAACTTTTGAAATAAACATATAACAGCAGAAAGCAAAGGTCTAACTCATCCCTTTACTCTTAGATGCTTTCATTAAATAACAACAGCCTGCAAGCAGCAGGAAAGCAGGAACTACTCTAGTATAACAAACCTCACTTCCCTGCCCAGGCTTCTGCTGTCTGACTTGCAAAATTAAGGGATTATACAAGATGATCAGAACTCACTGAGGTTCACATGTTTTAAAAGTAGTTCATAAGATTAAATGCCTACTAGATTTTATGTTTAGTAGCTCAAATGTGAAAAATGCATACTGGTGGGCCTTCATTTTCAAAAACTTATCAGATAGTAATATCATATTTCACAGATACATTCTGTAGATTATATTGGTTGAGCTATTTTATTCCATTGAAGAATTAATAACAAAATATAATCTGAAAAGATTTTATACTTGTTATTTTAAGTAAATACTTAAGGGACAAAGACCTCTAATTTTATAGTCAGTATTCTTTTTAACTGTCAAACTCCAAACTTCTTATTCAACAGAATTGAAAGTAGGGTCTCAAGGAGACATGTATGCCTGTGTTTATTGCAGAAGTAGTTACAATAGATAAACTGTGGTGGAATTTAAGCAAGCATTGATCGATGAGTAGATAGGAAAGCAGTGCTATGTCCTGTGATGAATTAGAACATATAAAAACCTGGAGGCCAATATACCTAATAAGTAATACAAAACAAAAACAACAAAACAAAAAACCCTCCAAATATTGCCTGAGGCCAGGTACACGAAGTAGTCAGCACAGTCAAAAGAGTGGCTTCTGGGGGAGGTGTATACCAGGTACAGTCTTAGCTCCGAGAGGAGCAGAGTAAAGGAAATTAGTGACTGACAGTGCTCAGCTGGATCGATGTATTATTGGCAGTGACGGGGCCCTTGAAATGGTTAAGATAAGAAATTTAGTTGCATATTTTTACTGTAATAGAAAAATTAAAAAGAAACTCTCAAAAGAGACTTTCCCCCCAGATTTGATTTCAGGTCATACTCTCCTATGTTCTATGGACTCGAGTTTACTATTCCGTGCAGAATATCAGTTCATGTTTATTTCTCTCTTATTCTCTGCGTAGGACCCAGTCTCATCTAAACTCAGAAAGCAAATGGAATTGGGGTAGCAAAAGGAGTCCGACTGCAAGCAGAGCTCAGGACTTCCTCTGCTGAGAAGACGAGACTGGGAGATGATGCAGAACAGAAGTGAGGTTTCGTCATACCTGAGAGACTGATCCAGCGTCATCCCTGTGAAATCGAAAAATTTCAAATACTCTTCTGCAACTAGTTTGCTAAATTCATTACTGCAAGGAAACAGAGGAGAGTTGTTTACTGAAATGACAACCATTCAAAAATAAAAAAGAAAGAAACAACAAAAAAATTCAGACCCATACCAGTCTTAAGAACATACTTTTTGCCTAGATGTTTTGCAACGTCTGATCTTTTGAATCTGTCTAGATGGTATAAGCGTCTGGCCAATCGTTTAGCTGCTTCCACGTTGCTGTTAGTACCATTACTGAGACTTTCTGTGGTCTCTTTCTCCAGAATTTCGGTGCTCCCCATTTCAGAATGAGCATCTGGCTGTGTTTTCACCTCAGCATGGCTATGGTCGCCACTTTAAAAAAAAGAAAAAGAAAAAAATAGAATTTTTTCATGTACAGCAAAACAGAAATAATACATGAAGTTACTGTAACAATGTAAAATAAACTATATAAAATTATTTAAATAAGATTGTGTTTTATTTAAATATTTCACAAAAAATATATTCAGGCACTATGTTTCTAAAGATTATAAAAATAATTGCCTAAGCCAGTGGCTCTCAACCTTCCTAATCTGTGACCCTTTAATACAGTTTTTCATGCTGTGGTAACCCCAACCATAAAATTATTTTTTGTTATTAATTTATAACTGTAACTTTGCTATTGTTAAAAATTGTAATGTAAATAAATATTTGTGTTCTCTTAAGCGATCCTTCTAAAAGGGTCACGTGACACCGCCAAAGGCTCTCCACCTACAGACTGGAAATCACTGGTCTAAGCACTAAAACAAACGGTTTCCATCTTAGAACTTATTATTTATTATTTTTAAGTATTAAGAACTCCAATAAGTTTCTGTTTAGTGTCAATTTTATGTATTAATATGTACTATGCTGGTAAATAAAATGTGGGGCACTTAATATGTTCAGTATATTACTGTGCATAATATTAATACATTTTTTTACTAAAAACCATATTCTCTAATAATATAAAATTAGGTGATTTATACTTTTTTACAGATTGCTGGCTAGCTTTTAGAGGACAGCAAGACTCTCAGAACTACCTATTGGTTAAACTTCTTAATTTATTATTTTGACTGAAGTATTTTGAAAAAAATCTGACTTCACACAGATACTTAAGTTAAAAATGTATATTTTAATATCCCATTTAAATAACTGTGGATGTACTTCATATATATATAACATGAGAATAAGAAAGTCATAATTTCTTAAATGTCAGTTGTAGTATAAAGCGTATTCCATTATGCTTTTGTACCCATACAGTAGATTCAACCCTATACTTGTCTTTCCTATATCTTTTATCTGTGTGTAATTTTCAACTGCTATATTTTGTTTTTTATAAAGTATTTATAAACATGTCTCATCCCACAATATTAGAAAAATCCCTTGTATTAAAGTTGTTACATTCCTCAGAAATGTAGTGAAGTACAAGGAAACTACTAAGATTCCAGTGAGAGATGGCTTTCCAAAATTGTTTCAATATTTTATTTTTAATATTTTATTTATTTACTCATTTATTTTTGAGTCATAGTTTTATTATGCAGTCCTGGATGACCAGGAACATACTATAGGAGACTGGACTCCAACTCATAAAGATCCTCCTATCTCTGTATCCCAAGTGCTGGGATTAAAGTAAAGGCATGTGCCACCAACCTTGGATGGATTTCGATTACCAAAATGTTAGTTATTAATAAAAATTTTAATTTAACAACTGCCAGACATTTGTTGATTGTTCCCCTTAAATAGCAACTCCTCCTCAGCACTCGCTCTGCAGGAACCTGAAGCTGCTCTAAGAGAAGCTGAGAGTGGAGTGCAGGGGCTATGATGTCCCAGTGCCTTTGACATCCACCTAGGCGAAGGGAATCTGAGAATGGAGAGCAGGGGCTATGATGTCCCATTGCCTTTTACATCCACCTACGTGAAAACTCGATTCCCTGCGCATGTCAGCTTCCTTGTTCTCAGTAGAGACCACAGGGCGAGTTCAGAGCACAGAATAGAGGAGGACCAAACCCACAGAAACTATTTTCACCTTCAAGTCCAATTAGAAAGCACTGTCAACAGCAAGCAATGAGCTAAACAAAAATAGACTTATAGAAACAAGTGTTTATGGTAGAGCCACCTTCACTTTCCAACAAAAAATACCTGCCAACAACAACAAACTGCTTGCTTATGATGAACTCGTCATGAAAATGAATATAGATTTCATTCCTATGTAGAAAGTTAAAACTGCCAATCATTGTGTGAACACTTTATATTTTATTAACTATAACACATCTATAGAAATAATTTCATAGAAATTTCATGTTAAGAGAAATTCAGTTTTTACCACATCAGTAATAGAATATAAAATATGCCAAGAATAATGTTGGTTACAACCAAATAAGTTACATATAAATATACACACACATATAAACAAACACACACATATATATACATGCATCTATGCATACAAATATCTCTATGTATGTATATACATGCACACACACACACACATACACAAACACATGCACTTATACTTCCTTCCTGCAGTTGTGTTCTCACTAGTCTTCCTGTCTTTCTCTACATAATAGCTATAATGTAGTACAAACAAATGCCAAAGAAAGACTTTCCTTTACCGGCACATCACTGGTTACTGTTAATTCCTCACATGCTCATGCCTTTCTTATTAATCACTTCATGCAGGCACTGCAGTCTAATAACTTGATATAATAAACTGATTTTATTCAAATGTAATTATAAATTGAAAAAACACTGCTAACAAAAATCCTAGTTATTTTTCTCACAGTCCTCATGCCACGCATCTGCTTCTTCCTTCTAGCTTCATGCCCAACCTAGCTGACTTCACTTCATCTTCCTGAGGCCGGGTGGGAGTGAGGGTAGACGCAAGAAAGATGTGATTGTAAAATCTATGTACATCAGTCTTTTCTGGGTCTTCTTTCAAAACAACAAATAAATTACTCTCATTAAAAGGAGAAGATGGGGACAACGCAAGGATAAACACCTTCATTCCAAGACATCTTCAATCTGTCCTTTTCCCACAGTTTATAAGATTACTGGAACCACACGGAAATGTTCCTTTTAAATCAGAAGTCATGACAATATGATGACAATACTGCTCACCAGCAATAACGCACGCACGACGTAACACCCTTGACAACTAAGCCCATACTTCGCATATGTCAGGGCCATACTTCTTACTGAAGCTCCTTCTCCTTCCCTTCTCCACCCTAACTCCAATTCTGCCCAACTACCTAGCCTTCCAAGAATTTGGCCCCTGTGACATCATGTTACTATGACCTCATGTTACTATGACGTCACATTCCAGCCCTGTTTACTGTTGGGGTTTCTATAATGCTTTTACAGCCCCAATAAAAACAAGAGCCAGAACACAGGGGCCACTATGCATGAAGAGAATAAAGAATGAAGCAGCCCTGTCTTGTTCATACGTAATAAAGCAGACTGGATGAGCCCTCAAGAGAGACAACACCCTATTCTTTTCCCCTAAATACACCAAACAGCACCCCTCTAATACAGTGACTATTAGACACTTCCAGGGGTGAGATGTCTGTCTCCCTCTTGTATATTTCAGCTCCATTTCCTGCTTGTCTGGACAATCTCTTAAAAGTAAGATCTCTACCAATAACATCAGTGTCCCCACTATTGTAGTCTAAGAAATGCGTATGTTGAGCCTTTAGTTCCCGCAGCCAAGTAACCATGGCAACTCTCAACAATCCAGATCAGATCATGGAGTCCAATCACTATGCCTTCCAGAACCTTTTCATCTTAACAGGCTGCTTGATTTTCCTAATAAATGTAATAAAATGCCCAAGTGTCTAACTTTCAGATAATTACAAAATAGTGTTTTATGTACACATCTTTAACAAATATTGCAAGAACATATTTATACTAATTTTTAAAAAAAAATTCAGTTTATCTTAAACTTGAGATTAACTAGGCATTCAATATTATGTCTGGCAATCTTATTTTTTTTTTTTTTGGTTTTTCGAGACAGGGTTTCTCTGTAGCTTTGGTGCTTATTTTTTTTAAAAAAAATGTTTGTTCAAAACTTAAAGAGTTGTACTAATGGTGTTCCTACCATTGGTTTCACAATGACACTTTTTAAATGTGTTTTGACTTCCTTCTGTAACTCACTTCACATTTCTGGATTTTTCTGTAGTTTGATCAAGACTGACAGCTGCCGATAATGAACGGAGTCTTCTCTAATGCCCTCTGTATACAAATGGAAAACTTTCCCATGTGTTTTCATTGTCTCTCCTAGCCATCTGACCACCACTAGAAATGTAACAATATGTGTACTTGACAAAACTCTTACTCAAGACAAAAATTCTTATCCCAGGGTATGATATGCAAGACCCAACACAAGCAGACAATAACTTCTCTTTTCAAGTTACAATCTACCTTATTCGGGAACCTTGAATCAATCTACGGAGTATTCCCTCAAGTCTCATGTTTATTCCTTACTTGTATTTTGTTTACTGAAATATTCTAAGTACCTGAACCATTACGTATCCATCATCAGGAACTTGATAAACATTTGTTAAATCAGTGAGGACATGAATATTAGAAGATGGCTAGCCGTAGCAATTGATTAGCATACAACATAAAGAACTGGGTTCTAGAGTCCCATTGCCTATGCCCAGCTCCTCCCCCAAGCATTCCTTTCTGCCTGTTTTCTAAGACTCTCGGATGAACAGCCCACAGGCTACTCTTAGCTGAGTGGCCGGCAAACAGTGAATGCTGAACCAGCATTAGATGATATCAGGTGACTAATATTACTAGAGGTGAGTGTGACTATTGGAGGTGCATGGCAGTTCTGAGGAATTTGTTTCTATTTCTTTTGGGACTATACTGTACTGTCTCTGCATGCCTGAGTAACAAATGCCATAACCAACAATGGCCAACAGGATACCATTTTCTTTCTCAGAGGCATCTTATTGTTCACGGTTTTGCATATACTTCACAATACCTTTAAAATTCACGTTGACTAACTTTCCTTCCTACCAAGAAGATTGCGTTTGAGTCTTGGTTTCAGGGTTCTGTGTCTATCTAGTCTGTGACCGGAGGATGTCATAGGGGTCCTATTACAGCTGAAGTCATAGCTAGCCACTGTTTAAGAGATCTTTAGAGTTGCCTTTTCTAGACAATGTATCTAAAACAATGTATCTGTCACCCCCTGTTGATATCATTTTTTCAGTTAGTCATAATGGATTAGAAAGTGTAACACACCTGTCAGTGCTGGTAACAAACTTGAGACGATGATGGAGGAAACTACAATGTGGATTGCTCCAGACATTACACCCTTCTATTGAGTCACGTCA